TCATAGGCGGTCGCGTTTTCGGGTCAGTCGGTGTCGTGTGATACTGCATTTTGCATGTCGCGTCAAGATAGGACTGCGTTATATACGCGATATCCTTGATGCATATACGCGAAGGCGAGCATTGCGGTGCTTTAACCCTGTAATAGAGTTTCGCGTGAACTTGTTAGACACATTCTTGTTCTAATATTGGATAAAGCTCCGTTTCGATTTTAAGCTGCGTCTCGCATTGTGTAGTCACAAAATTCTTACTATATGTTATAGAGACAAGAAACAATTCATCTGTATATCTTTAAAAGAAACTAAATTTTAAAAAGACATTTTGAAATGAAAAAAAATGTAACAAGAGATGTTGCCACAAATCTGGAAAACCAGGAAAAGTCAGGGGAAAATGTAAAAAAGTCTAGAATTTCGAAATTTGTTCACAATTGATCTGAAACTGCTCCTTTTCCAAATAATTGTTGTAATTTTTTAAATAGTGTGTCTGACATTTATAGTCAAATTCAAACCATTCAAAACTTGTGCACTTTGAACGATTTTAATAAAATAATTAAAATTTATATTTTATTCAATATATTTTATTCAATATTTTCATTTGACTCAACTTTTTCGTCATGACTACATTCTTTTTTCCAAAATTAATTTATTTTTTACTAACTTGAATTTGCATCCAAAATTGTACTAAGCTTTGTTTCCATTGTTTTTAATAATGTAGACTAGCTTTTCTACAAACCTTGAGTCTAAATGTAAAAATTTACATATTAGGTGTGGGAAAAAGTTCATAGCATTTTTCCCGTTAGATGTAACGGGATAAAATATATAATAATATATTACTCATGAAAAATTTTCTATTTTCATCTGGGAAACCTGGAAAAGTCAGGAAATTTCAAAATTTATTTTCTGTGGCAACTCTGTGTACGCAACATATTGATACTGAGCATTTATGAATATTGTTGATTGTTATTATCTGTTTTTTTTTTGTTACATTTTTTGTCACGCGCACTGTCATTTTTTTTATCGATATTAAAGATAACATTGATATTAATAACATTAAAATAACATTGAAATAAAAACGGACATTTGTGTTTATAATGAAATGTTTGGCGAAAATATCAGGAGTTTTTATATTAAATAAAAACGAAATGTAAAGAAGACATTATAAATTCATAAAATTAATGACAAAATAAGGCTCAATTCAAAAGATTTTAAAATATGCAAACTAAATTTTTATGGGACTTATGGTACTGTGATGCAAAGGCGATAATTGAATCATCTCAGCTCTGTTTATTTTTCTTCGCACTTTAATCACTTTAGAGTAGCTTGCTAGAAACAGATTGCTTCCAACGAGATCATTGGCAGACTAAATGAACATAAAAAGCATTATTTTTGCTGCTAAGCCTTAATTATATTTAATCTTCTTTTCAAGTAATTTTTCTTTTCTTCTCCATAATTAAGCTACATAAATTTGTAAATAGAAACAAAGACAATTTGAATTTATAAATTTTTAAATTCTTAAACATTTTTATATTTATATTCTTAGACTCTTAGGTTTTGCATTTAGAATTTTCTAATTTATATTTTTGGATTCGTGGATTCAAGCTTTTAAAATTTTATATTTTCGAAAAAAATAAAAATACATTTACTTTCTTCATTAAAAATAAGAATGAGAACAAAAATTCTGCAGTATTAATAAATGTACCGCTCTTTTAGGAAATATATAAATCATTATTACATACATTCAATGGATTTATATGCATAACAGATACTTTTGAGATTTGCCATCTCCACTGCGCTTGCATTGGCCGATGCATATACTGATTTAAAAAAAGATACGCGTATCTTTTCCCTCTCGATTCTCGCATTTCACGACGCTGTAGGCCGAAAATAACAATGCGTTAAGACGATTCTCGCATACCTGTCAAGCAGAGGCAACTATAAACGAAACGGATGCGCCAGCTGTCAAGCTAAGGTCGTTCTGCACTTCGTCACAAAGTCGTAGTCCCGCTCTCAATCTTCCATACGGTCGCACCCCACACTAAGTCAATGGAAGTATTTTCGGCGTTGAACATGCTCTCGGAATCATTAAGCGACCTCGACTAGTCGAGAGAAATATTGGGTCTCTTTATCCACAAAGAAAATTGAGGCATTCGATTTTCGATGCAAGAATGAAGTAACTGAAGTAAGTATGTAATTTGCGGGATTCGGCCTCAAAATTAAATTTGGTTTCATATTCAAAGCTGATCTTATTATTAATTATAAACTGACTCTTTTACATTGAAATACTTAATTTTAATTAAAGTGGAATCTCTCTTTAAAACTATATAGAGATTGCGTGCAATATACATCTAAAAGATCCAAAAATATAAAAATTTTGTGATCTAAGAATTTAGAGAATTAAAGATTTAAGTCTTCAAATATCTATTAATTTTAAAGAATCTTCTCTTTCTTTTCTTTCCGGATACACAAGAAAGATTTGTCTACAATATTAAGAGCAATATATACTCGAGCAACATATCATGTAAAAAATAAACTTATATATAT